CATCTATAAATTCTTGTTGATTCACTGACTTGTTGTTTGGGTTTTAAAAATATGTTGATTTACAATGATGAAAAGCTGAGGAGGAACCATATTGTTACATTTGGAGCTTGAACTTGCATTTTTGACTGAAAAATGTTGATTAATCAATTAACAGAGTGCCTGAGGTGGTGTCCACTTTCATGTTGTGCTCCGAGAAAGTATTTAAATACCTCTTAGTCATTTCATTGTTTTGCACATAAATCACTCTACTGTGCTTCTAATCTAATTCTCTATTCCACTCCCACCTGTCCTGCTGCTGCTGTACCCACTGAGGTCTCAGGGGGGTCTTTAGTGGGTCCAAGCCCCTCCTAACCCACCTGTCCACCGCTCATGATTTATGTCTCCCGAGACCGCTGGGGCTGCTGGGAGGTTGCCTCCCCTGCTCCGACTGTAGATTTACATTTTATCTTTTTTATTTTTTCTTAAACTTTATTCAATCTCAAATAAATTGGAATCTTCCAATAATTCTTTGGTCAGGGTTGTGGGTTTATATAGCTTTGGTTTGTTAAAGTAATAAAGTTTGAAATCAGAATAAATAACCCACTGAGGTTCTTTAAGTTATTTTAATACATAATGTTCCTATGAAAATAATCTGGTTCCTGTCTTAAGGCATTTGAGCACGGTAAAAGGATATGCCATGGTACATGCCTAAAGAAACATTTTCCATTACTATATACAGTAGAACATTAGTAAGCATGCAGTGCTATTTTAGATGATAAAACCGTTTCATACAGCGTCCTGGTCAGGACAGCACAGGCTAAAGAAGACTCACAAAGTCTTTTCATAAAACAAGTGACAGGATCAGTAATTACAGTGATTTGTATTTCCAACTAGTAACAATTAGAAATTAGTAGACTTATCTATTTCCAAAACAGGTTTTACTTGTTTTAATGGCATTCGATTTTGCAGCTATTCAATTAATTAATCAATCCAGTAAAATATCAGAAACTAGTGAAAAATAGTGGGCTCAAAACATTGTTCTGATTGACTGTTTTTTCATTATTCTGCTCCTTCTCTCCTCTCAGTGCCACATCTCTTTCAGTTTCAGCTTTGCTACACCTGTTTCTTTTTGGTTTTACCTTCGAGATGTGTCCCAATTTTAATGGAAGCGAATCAAAACGAGTAGCCTATCACAGGCCTTCCACTTCACTGACCGACATGCGAAAGGATTACGGATCAACTTAGTCTCTCCTGTACAGCATTTGTATCTGCGGCTCGGTGTTGTGCCTCGAGGCAGCCAGCGGCTCTGGGCTGCGTTTTCACTCATTCCCTCTGAGCTCGAGGATCCCGCGGCCTCTGTTCTGCTTCTCAGGCGGCAGGAGAAAAAAGAGAATGGAGGATGGCAGGATATGCAAATTGTGCCACCACCAAAGGAGAGGGAGAGGAGTTTCCCACCGGCTGAGTGTGAAAGAGTGCTCCCCCTCTCCCACACACACACAAGACTTTGAATGGGACTCTTTCTTTAGACACACACTGGCCTGCATGAACACATAACCCACACAATCACACAAACGCATGAACGCAAACTCACGCATATACTCATTTAACGCTCATGCTAATGCACACATGCGCTCATATATGGAAGTTGTAACGCGCACACATACAGGCGCGAGGGCGGGACGCTGGTCAGCAGCAGCAGTAGAATGAACTGAGTCCCTTCACCACAGGCTGTCTTTCACAGCTGAGCCTTGGTTAGCGCCACAGTGTAGATTAAAGTTTTAGCTCTTAGCTGCTAGGGGAGCCTCTTGAATACATGAATATTCAGGTGGCGTAATGAGAACGATCAAAGGCAACAGCAAAGCAGGTTACTTGTGGAAATGGGTAAGGCCACCTTTGAGAAACGTACTAATATGAGTTTGGCAGTTCCTCTGAGATTTTATGCACCACTGAAGCTGGAGGTAGATTTCACTTCTGGTTCCACGTTCGGCTTTGTTTTGAGTGTAGGTGGCAGTGAGTAAAGTCTGAAGTTCATAACATCAATTTTAAACGCCATTGTGAGTTCGGAGGAGTTGGTCTCAGTATAATCTCCCTTTAATTCTACACGGCACACTACACATAAATCTTTTCTACCGCTCTTCTGAGATCTTCATTCTTAGCATGACATAACTTTCACGTGTTACAGTTTTATGAGGCCACAGCAGCTTTAAACTCTGAATGCCTTTCATTAAATTATAGCAACAAATGGGCAGCAATTTATTTTCCACATTATCCAGAAAGAACAGACTTTAAATTCTTGATTTCTCTTGAAGGCTCTGATTACGCTGACTAACTGTAACAGCTGAATGAAGTACTCTTCTGTGATTTGACATCACTGTGAATGGTGTGATTTTATTTGAGTTTTGAATGTGTGACAGAACCAATTTCTGCAGCCTAGATACAGAACAAGTATTAACAATTAAATTAGTTTGACCCAACTTTCCTCTCAGTGTTGCCCTGAATAATTGGTTGTTTAGCCCTAAATTGATTCAGATGGCACTTGAGGACTGGGGGGACTCCAGACTATTTTTTAGTGCAGACTTGTCTTTAAAAAAGTGACATCTGTGCTGTAAAGACAGTTAGCTTTACTATGTAATGATTTGGTATACAGTATTTTTCACAGAGTAAATGTGGCAAATACTGAAACTCTACTGAGCATCTAAATGCTGTTTACTACCCCACTCCTTCTCACATGTGTTTTCTGGTGTAAAGCAGCTCTAGGGCTGCCCCAGTGACCTCTAACCTCTCTGTGGAGGACTGGGAGGGTGGGTGGCTCTGTGGGGGGGGTTGACACAGCACTGGTGATGTCGACGACTTACAATTTTGAGTTTTAAAGGCCACACTGCCATGCACGTTTTAGGTTTGTTTAGACTCCTTTGTGTAGTGCAGCGTGAATGACATAATTAGTTGTTCTCAGTTTCAGTATCAGATCATAGGGCAGCACACCATTTCCCTTCTACCTTGACTAAAAATAGTTCTCGTGTTGAGTATTCACGAGTTGCAGGGGCAAGTCACACCTGCATGACAACAGACACGTTGCCGTGGCTGATGTTTTTAGTCATTTGTCATTTAACTGAGGCTGCTTTCTGAATATGTAGTTCAGTTGTTGACTTGATTGTGATTGTGGCTGTTTTGTTTGGCATAGCTTACCCCAGCAACTTTCCCAAACGCTCCCTGAACATCTGCGGATGTACAGTGTACATCAGTGCTGTAAAAACCTTGTCACAGTGTTTGTATTGTGACCAAATCTCCCACTGTCAAGGTGCCTTTATCAGCCGACGTCATCTAATTGAAACGTAACAGCATCCGCAGGAACTGCTGATGTTTCCTCACAGGCACCATGGTAATGCATGTAAATCCAAACATGCAGGCCTGTGTTGTTATGCAAAGCCTGGAGGAAAGTAGCAGTTCCCCACCTTGATGCTAACACACACACCACAAACACTCTCTCCTTCGCATACACACAAACGCACAATTAGTCACAGAAGCAGCATCAGTAGCCCTGACGCACCTCCCCCTCTGGACCATAAAAGGCGATGGGAGGGGTCAATGCTGACTTGCTAAAGACATCCTGTAGTGCTTTGTCATTCCACAGGCCCATTTGTGCAAGGGAAACAGCACACACACAGAATCACAGACACACACACACACACACACACACAGCCCCAGGCTCTTTAGCACAAGGAGAAAGTAACGACCAATGGTCATGGATCAATCAACAGCTACTGTTGACCACCTACACTTCTAATACCACTCAGGATCATTTCCCTCTGACACTGCCATCTCCCCGATAGACTACAATGGTGCATATGTGCATACATATTCACATTACCCCCAAAATAATATATAACTTAAGGTAAAAAAAAACTAAAACTTACTAGTCCTTCATATAAAAACAGCTTTGAATATTAGATGAGCATAATAACATGTTGGACGTCATGTAATTGTGCTTACTAAACATAATTATACATTGAACATTGTAACATTTATTATTTGGTATCGGACTAATCAAATGTACCAGGATGAACCCAGACGATGGCAAGGCCGATTAGCTACAAATAAATGCTTAATATTGCCTCAGAGGCAGGACACTCACATGACTCCTCTGCTCTGTAGGACAACTGTAACTGGAGCACCTTAGGGTAACCTCAAGAAAATGGTTAATTCATGCAAAGACAGACGATAAAACATGCTGCAGCATTTTTCATATTTAACCCTTTTTTAAGTGTGGTTGTACGAGGTTTTGAAGCTGTGCCGTAGTGGTCTAGAAACACTGATAAACAGAATATAGTCACACACAGTGAACTATACAGCCCTGGTTTGAAACAATAAGCCAATAAGCTCAGTTGTAGGGCCATAGTCCTTATAAGATGATGCAAAGCTCGCTTGTATGACAAGCAAGGCTATGATGGAGCATTACAGCTTCAACATCTACAGAGGAGAGTTGAATAAATACCAGACACACAGAGAAAATGCTACTCATCTACGCATCAAACAACAGCAACCTGATCAAAGAGCATATCACCAAAGAGACAAGACTATTCCTTTAAAACAGTAATTCAAAGCACTTTCATAGCAACAAAAAACAGCAGTCAGTGAACAGTCATTGAAAGCTGTTGTAAACACTACACTTGTCTGTTAATACACCACTATCACTGCTAGTGAGAAGGCTGCACATAATTTAACCAAATGTACATCTCAGGATTGTTATGGTATATGAAATTTTACAGTTTTAGCAGAGCATCCGCTCTAGAACCATAAGTGGTTCCAAAACAGAGGTAAAGGTTTCTGTAGTAGCGCTATGGAGCTGTTTCTGAATGAGCGGGTCCCCGTTTTACATCATGCACGCACACACTGTTGGACGTGCACGTGGGTGACTCAATACACAGTCCTGCCAATGGTTTCACCCTATTCCACTGATCTTCAGGTGGCAGTAACACAAATATATGCTGCAGAGTGCCAGCAACGGCACAGAAGAAGAAGAATGCTAGCTAGTAAACATGGGTGTCAACAATACTGGATTCAAGATACTTTAAAATGGACCTGAAAGAGATTACAGGAAAACTCCACATACAGGGCCCGTTTACACCATTTACAACACCCAACCCCTTTTCTTATGTCTCCAAAAACCTCCACGGGACAGACGGACAGACGCTAGTGAAGGCCCAGGCCCTGGCAGCCTTGTACGTATGAGCAGTCCAAGCCTGGGAGTAGGCCGCTGTGTTTATCCTGTCAAGGTATGTTAACACCAGGCCGCATTCCTCTAGTCCCTAAATTGCAGTGTTAGATTACAGCTCAGCTGAGAGCACATTCGTACACACACAAACATGCAGCACTTTAAAGTAAGGGGAAAGGCGTTGGATGACGAAGCCATGACCAAAGTGGCAGCAGCAACAGGCGGCGCGCGGACCTGCCATTTACAGAAGAACTGCAGACGAATAACATTTGGTGGAGCTGAAAACAAGTCCATTACGGCCGCTGGGTTTAGATAAAAACAATAACAACTTCATACTTTCTCTTTTTTCTTTGCAAAGAGATGTCCATATACATAATGCACAGTGTAATGTGTGGTAAGGGTTTTCAAATACATAGTACACTAAGAGAAAAGTGAAGGTTGTCTTTGTTGGTCTCTGCAGGCCTACAGTTGGATGACACTTGTTTCCCGGGCTTTTATACAACCATGTTTACATCTGTTGCCTTGTGGGAAATAATCTCTCTAAAGAAGTCGAGCAAGGCCAACTGACCCGTCAACTACCACTGACACCAGGCAGGTTAGGGTTAGCTTGTTTAGGTGAGGACAATGCCATCTGAACTCAGGCGGCACACTGAGGCGGCACGGAGAAAGCCAGTCACAAACTGCAGTGTGGCTCATTATGAATGAGATCATAACTACAGGAAATGACTCCAAAACACAAGGTTTTATAGGCCAGCACTGCTCATGCTTAAAAAAAAGATTCAAGGACAAACTGCAGTCTGAGCTGCTCACATCTAGCTTCACGTGTGCCTAACTATCCAGTAAAGTTACTACATCAAAGAGCACAAACTATGTTTATCTAGATTTCTTTAACCCCTCAACTCTGCCCTTTAACACTGAAGCTGTCAGTATTTCTTCATGTAAACTACTGTGTCTAATGTGCTGCCATTTGGGGACAACTGTATGTGTAATACTTTGACTTATATTGTTCTCAGAACCATTATAATAAACAAGATTCAGTATAACTGTTATGAGGAAAGAAGACGGGTTGGCTCAGTCGGTAGAGCTGGCGATCCATGTACGGAGTTGCTGCAGCGGCCTGGGTTCGAATCCGACCTGCGGCCCTTTGCTGTGAGTCATCCCCTCTCTCTACCCCCCTTTCCTGTCAATCTTCGGCTGTCACTATCAATAAAAGGCCCAAAAAATAATGATTAAAAAAAGGAGTAGTCAATGAATTGGCTACTGTAATAATATGTTTTTCTAAGCAAAAATCTACTTCCAGCTTTTCACATGAGGATTTGCTTGCTCTTTGTTGTATGTAAAAATCAGTAAACTACCTTTTATTTTTGGCTTTTGATCAGAAAAAACAAGCTGAGTATGGACATTTTTTACAATTATCTGATTTTACAGACAACTTATTGTGAAAATAATCTATAGGTTAACCGGTAATCAAAATAATCATTAGGAGATTTGACTCCATGAGGACTGAAAGCAGTAAAATGTGTAAAGTCTAATGTATCTACAGTCACCTGAGGATTATCAGTTCTCATCATCATCAGAAGTCTGAAACTGAATATAATTAATAACCCATCTACTGTCTGTCCCACTGTAACACATGCAGAAAGTTTGTCCACCTTCACGCTGGAATATAAACGGATTCATAGAACACTTAATCACTGCTATCAAGCAAAGTGAGCATAGGAACTGTGGAAGAAATTAAAGCCCAAATGAAAGCTTTTGTTCCAGCATCTGTTTGCCACATCATGGCGATGACAGGCTGCAGGTCATGGTACATTAGCACAGGCTAATGTTTGGCACATTAGCTCCTTTGAAATTCAAAAGAGAGAGCAGCCTGCGAACGGGGCAACCTAAAAGACTAATAAAAACACACTTCTGAATGGAGGCAGGTTGAGAAATAAAAGGGAGGACGAGTTCTCACTAAGCAGCAGAATGAAAAGCAGTGCGCACTGAATCACGGCACCCTGTGCGCCCCGTTACACGGACACGGACGCACTCCTGTCGTGTTATAATCTCATTTAACGTTATGTGTTTGGGAATGAATCACAAAAGGAGACGCTCAGGTATGTTCCCATTACGTACTTGAGCCTTACAGAGCGGGGATGTCACGGGGGAGATCGGTTCAAACTGGCCTACACCTTTATAGGTGTTGCATCACCTTGCGTTACCTGGCTGTCTCCGGTCCAGGAGGAAAAAAAAAAAATAAAAAAGCCAGCAACCCCGCCTTCACTGCAGTAATGGTACTGACCGCCATTCCCTCCCGCACAGCGCTCAGGAAACTGTGCAGCGAATTACCGCAACACAATAGATGGAAACGAGTGGTTAGACTCTCTGAGCACTTATTGTACACGGTGGGCAACAACGAGAGGGATGAACCACCTTATGCACCGCTCGTTTTACCGTGCAGACACACACACACACACACAGGGCTGCAGGGTGCACCGACCAAACAAGGCACAGTCCACACACACACACACACACACACACACACAATAATACATAAAAGGGGAAATAAAACATGCACAAGTGGGTCAGAAATGCGTGTCGATGAGATAAATCCCGCGAGAATAAACAAAAAAAAAAGGAGGCGAGCATCCACGCGAAGCTTTGGCACGGTGAAAACTAAAAAAAAAAAAAAAATCATCATCATCTACCTGCACAAGTTGACATTTGGAGCGGTTTTTCCAGGCTCCTCACGAGACACCGAGCCTGTAGGAAAGCGAGCGGATCCGGTTCCGTGAACGGGAGAGAGCCGCAGGTGCTATTTCTGTTTATTTCTAGGCCATTTGTCAGCCCCGTTATCCGCGTTCAGGTAAACATGATGATGATGATGATGATGATGATGGCTCCTGTACGGACGCGCAGTCACCGTCGTGTCGTCAGCAGGAGGAGAGAGAGAGAAAAAAAAAAAAAAAAAAGGTGCTTTCCAGCCCCTCGGCTCACACACATCACGCCTCATAACGGTGTCTAAAAATATATACATTTAGAGCTTTTTACTTTTTTTATTGGCTGATAGGATGAGAGAGAGGGGGAGGAGGA